AGATTTGCTCAACACTATTGTGCGTATGCAAGAGGAGCGCCTCCCTACACAAGTTAGGACTTCTATGGATGCAACGGCAACAACTTCTATCACAATCTGTTCTTGAAGAGTTTCTCGTCTGAGGCCAAAAAGATAGTGATGACGAAGCCCATTGCGGACCCCAAACTTTTGAACGACCAGTTTAGGAACATCATCAATGAAGTCAGACACGATACCACCGAGCATTTTGATGTCTCTACCATCAACTTACCAGTGAAGGCCAATCAGATGGTTGATGTCCCTATTCAGCAAGTCATTGCAGTATATGACTTGTATATGACAGGGGCAGGGTACAGTTACATTCCCTACAATACTAGATCAATGCCATACGGGATCTTTTTCTTGACAGCCGAGTGTCCTTACCAACCAACTTACATTTATGCCTCCACTGGAGGTCTATCGGACTGTCGGTCATTTCCCTCATTTCCCTCGCCACTAGCATATCATTTCATCACAGACACCTCGAACTCAGGATGGGGAGACCACATGGATGACAGATACAGGGATCACAGACCTTTGGGAGATGGGACCCTCCACATCAATTGTCGAGAGATGAAAGCCATGTTTTATGTTGATTCTAGTCAGTTCTAGTCGCCACAGACAACACCACAGTGGGAAACAGGGAGAAACCAAGTCCCATTCCCTGATGGCAGAAACTACTTGGCTATTTGCCTTGGCAGACGCTTACAAGTGCTGACAGTTTCTCCTGGACAGACGGGATCGTGTCTACGGAATGGACCCTCCATCCAGATGTCTTCCAATGGATCACAGTGCTGTGGGACACTCCACATTTGGATTTGGCTGCAACTTGTCTGAATCATCAGCTTCCCACTAACGTCAGCCAGGCTCCAAACCGGTGTCATTTCATCTAGATTCCCTAGTCAATGGATTCGACTGACCTCTTGGCCTATGCCTTTCTCACCTGAATTCTTCTAGACTAAGTGATCTGAAAAAATAGAACTAACATATTGTATTATCATTCTGATCACACCAATCTGGCCCAGTAGACTATGGTTTCCCAGATTTTTTTCTCTTCTGATGGAAGAACCTCTCCCATTGCCATTTCGCAGAGATCTTCTTCGACAACCCAGGTCGGACGTACTGTACAACAGTCTTCCCAGTCCCTAACTGCCTGGAAATTATCACATGGAAGATGCAAGCCTCGGTAATTTCTAAATCTGCCTCCTCAGCTGTTGCTTGATCATGGAGACCATGATCGTCCCTTCTGTACAACCACAAATGGGACAAGTTTCATCAAGTGGAGAAGACGATGCAGGTTAGAAGACTCGCACATCACTTTCCCTATGGTTGCTGATTTTCTGCTCCATCTCAGATAAGAAAATAAATTCTGTGATGGTATGGTTGAGGGATATAGATCTGCTCTTCACTCTGTTCTTCAACATGACAGATTGATCATTAGGCGACCTTTTTTCAATTACTTGGTTTACAGATGCGCGACACTTTCAAAGTCAAAATGTTGAAAAGAAATAAAAATACAAATTACTCCTTACTCCGATCTTTACTTTAAAAAATGCATGAAAAGTTCAAGCAAGTAAAGATTTCGTTTCATCTGCGAGTGTAAAGCAAAGGGAAGTCACTCTGATATGTCTTGGTGGGATCCTTCTCTAATACCATCGAAGTGTGTCAACACAAAATGTAGCAACGACCAGTTTCACACTGTAGGCCGTTACACTGGCCAAGAAACCTCGAGTCCCCAGACACCACCAGCCAATAGACCGGTCAAGCCGTAGTCAAGTTAAGATAGTGTATAATTTTATTAACCTACCAGTCACATCATTCATTTATGAAATCTATCACATTTCGCAATGTCTGAAATATGTATTCCATTTCAATTTATCATTTTTTATCATTAGATTAAAAACTTTTTTTTTACCATTTCCCGCAATGTTATTGAAAATAAAATTCTCGGACACACACTTCAACAACAGATCCCCATCGAACTTGTCAAACAGCAAAATAAAGCATTGCAAGCAAAGCTTTAAATACATTATTCAAAAGTAATAAATAAAATCAACAAAAATATATCTAAAAGTTGTCAAACGTACATCTAAGTTATTTCCATCTTTTCGAGCGATCAGGTGTAATGTAAGTCATGACATCTCAGCTTTAGTCGCCTCGATTTCTCAGCTCAGACATGATGTTTAATGCCAAAATATATGCATAAGAATCTTTGTCACAGCTCGTAACCTAGCAGGATACATCCATGAAGGTCCATATTTAGTATAGACCGCGATTTCCTGCTTAAAACATTCAGAATAACATGATTTAACCAAAACCTTTGTCAAAATCTGAAAATTATCATACATGAGGACGGTACCATTGCTGTGATTTGATTGGCTGCCTTAGGTCATGTGCTGAACTTTGACCAATCAGATTTTGGCAAGAAAGCGTCACAAGAAACAATTTTTTATCCAATAAAATCACATGTTACAGTGACGAATAGACTCAAATTGATGTTACAATTATCATTATATCGGCTAAACAATATAAGCTTTTTGATGGATACTACTGACATGGCACCCTTCGGCGTACGTGTTATTCATACGAAGCTTCGAAATCGGAGGTATTTCCTCATGTTTGTGAGCGGACAGCACTATTATCAGGAAAAGGGTGATGACATACTGTTTGTAATTATTTTTTAAATAATTTTCCGATTACATATACAATGAAAATAAAAAAGAAATAGGTAAGTGGATTTTATGAAATTTTATATTTGTCGAAAATAGTTAAATATTTGCTTCCTTGGTCCTTAGTTTTGATGTTATGAATGTGTTAGCTTACATTTTTTTTTATCAAACAAACTTTATTAAGTTGTAAATGAACTTTTTATATAACTTGATACACATAACTTTCATATTTATAAACAATAGGATTAATTAGACCTTTCAAATAGTGTATAGCCAAACATGTAACAAAGATGTTTTACAAGCAGATAATTGCCTTGATAAATGTTAGCTTTATCTATCACACAAGAGTCTCTGGGAACTTGGTGTCACAGCAGTAAAATCACAGCAGTAAAATCTTGACCAGTTGACTGGTGTTGAAAGATCGCCACCCATGCTGCCAAAATAGTGGCGCCCATGGCATGCATACTGTTATATTGCCATTTGTGCACAAGCTGAGTGCCAGGGATATAATAAAATGGTTTTTGAAAAATTGAGTTGTTTTACTTTTGTTACTCCAGAATATATTTTTTTTATACTTCCCTAACTTTTAAGGACAAAAGTCAAGTAAAATAAATCTGAGAGTTTTTTTTTTAAATTGGCCTACCTCACTTTTGTTTGAAATCTGTAAACCAAGAAATAAAAAAAGTGATGTCTTAGCAACCACCACATTTTGAACAGGCTCATGCGATCTTTTCTTCTGCAAGACGTCTTTGGCATTACTCTATTCCTGCACTTGGACCTACGGTAGATCATCCAGAATGCTTACTCTGTCCTATCAGTCAACCCAATTCTACCTGGCTGCTACGGACCCCCATCAACGTCAAGCTTATCACCAAGCCCAGAACGCCCCTCCCATTCTGGGCTTCTGTTCAGTACATGAGATCAGGGCTCTGGCCACCTGTCTAGTGTCATAGACTTCTGTTTCTGTTGAACAGGTTGTTGCAGGATGCCAGTTTGGTTTTTACAACACCTTAACTCACTTTTACTTACGAGACGTACAGCCAGATCTTCAGGGTATATACTCGCTACATCCTGTCATAGTTGCTCAGGCTACCATTGAGCAATAGTTTTAAAAAAAGGGAGGTGGGGTGGAGAGGATTCTACCAGCAGCTACTGAAGGTGAGTACACCTTTATTCATCATCTATAGAAGAACACATGTCATTGTCTACATGTATCACAGAATGACCGGAAGTGACGTCACAATCGGAAAAAAATATTGCGACCGGAAGTTATGTCACAGGCGGAAGTGACGCTGAGATGATATCATTATGGCTTTTAGGAGATCGGAAATGACATCCAAAAAAGAAATGAAGTCATTTAGACCAGAAGTCACATCACACCCAGTAAGAATGGGACTGGAAGTGATGTCACAACCAGATAGTGAGGTCTTAGAAGATTTTAGAGACAATCATTAACAAGAATATCAGCACTACAATGAGAGTTCAAAGTGATGGTATCACGTATTGTCTATTTATTCTACAGCATGATTTTTCAAGTTCTGTTGAGGTGAAGTATAGAAATACAACTCAGGAGGATCTAAAGCAGGCTGAATATGTCAGAATATGATTCTACTAGATTACTGCCAATTATTACAAGAGAGTGTTCTATGGGCAGAACCTGCTGTTCCTGTGGTATATATACTCTGATGTAATAGAGGTAGAGGAATGGTAAAATCATCCAAACAATAGTTATCATTGTTACTAATTCTAAGAATACTACCTGTATTACATCCGAGTCAGTCCAAAGTACTTTAAGGAATATAATTAGGGATGTGTAGTTGACAGTGAAGAGGACTTCTATTATAAATCTGAAAGTTTAGTTTAGTGTGCTTGCAGCCAAAATACCAGGAGTATGGCAATGATGTAATAGAGGTAGTATTCTTTGAATTACTAACAATAATAACCACATTTCACATGTCCTAAAAATGGTGTTGGACTGAAAGTACAGTCTTCCCTGGTTATAATGCCCATTGGACAAAAAATGGCACTTTAACCAAAGAGGACTGTAGTTGCAAAAGTCGTTCCTACATCTTGAAATATCACATGATCAAGCTTGTATAATCATCCTGTAACTAAAGAGATATGTCATAAAGCACTCATGACTTTGTGAAGTAATTCATTTCATGAGTGCTGAAGAAACATGTTTGTTTTACATCAGAGACAGAAAGCATGAACAATGATCCATGCCATCAGGGTAGGATCAGCCATGTCACAGAACCTGACCACTCCTTTTCCATTTACACAGGAAATAATGACTGTTATCTTCTCTTTCAGCATCCATCCATGGCAATTGTCAAGGGAGCAGGGATGGTGATGAAAGCAATCATTGAGGTAATGAATCGTAGGAACTCTGGGCCCAGGTCATCCATCATGGTTCTACTAAATGGTTGGAGTTGTTTTCGACAAGTTATTGCCTTGCACAAATAGAATTCTCATTTCATTTTTTCTAATTTCTGAAAGGACTTCATAATCATGATGTGGTTTCTCTTGCGCTTTAGTGCTTGTATAGTCTTTGCATAGTTCTTTAACTTTGAGAAACAATGTAGCACCATGCTGTTTAGACAAGCACACTATGAGGATGTAGGACAATTATTGCTTTCTTTGGTATATTTCAGTGAAGATAAACATGCTTGGATATTTTAATATTTAATAATTGACTCAACTGTGGTCAAGTCATAGGACTGCAGCCATGTTGGAATATTATGTTGTGGAGATGTTGAAATCCATCTTTGGCACTCCGTATTGTGCTTCACTAACTGATCAGCATGTTCAAGGACGACATTTTGCTGCTGCCTAAGGATACGCTTTGCACAATGCAAGGACATTAAGAATGGGTGCAAAAACTTAATAATTGTGTTACATTCCATCCATACATTTCAAAAGGGAGGTCCTTTCCTTCATGTGAGGTTGTCATGCTTTCCACTCAATGACTGTGGTGTGTATAGCGTCTACAATGTATAAACAGTCACATTACAAGCCTTTTTCTCTTAAGTACTTAGAAAAGGGGATTTTATCCGTATTTATGTGTGTTTCTTTAGGAAGGAGATGCTGAAATAGCGGCCAAGATGCAGGATCTTGCTTTGGCTGAAGGGGCCTTGCCAAAACACCTTCATTCTGCCATGTTCACACAAAGTACAGACAACAGAATGCTCACAAACAGGTTAGTTTGGAAAAACTTACAGGCACTGTTCAAGACCATGCTTGCCAGCAGCCAGTGACATTATGTATGTCTTGCCAAGTGAATGAATTTTCAATGAACCAAATTGAATAAATAGGCATGTAGGATGAAAACATGGGGCATGTTTATTAACCATCTTCATCTTCAAACTGTCATGGTTTCAACTAGAATTCCAGTCTCGAACTAGTTTTCAGGCGCCAACTTTGAAAAATATTAATTGATTTGAACTAACAGGAAGTATTACGCAATTCATACTGTAAATCTTGAAATTAACGTGAGTGTGAATTAATTGCAAAAAATTGTGAGTGGTCTTTGCTTTTATGTCTCCAAAATGACAAATGTCAACAATAAGACGGCCTCACTGCACACGTTGGATAGCGGAAATACCAACTTGAATATAAACACAAATACAGATTATTTAGCAGCAGCTGTAACAAGTATATAACAATGTCATAGAATAGAATAGAAATTACACAATGGGTTATCACTGCTGGGGTCAATAGTACGTTCTACCCACTCATGTCAAGCTTGTGGACACATTCTCCGCATACCAATCAGCCAACTGTTGTTGGTTCAATTATTTTATTGCCTTTGAACTTCCTTAATCCCAGTCAACAGAGTAAACATATAAACTGTGTGTTGTTTTAGGAAGACACTGTTTATTGTTGGGTTGAGGTAAGGTTAAGTATCATTCCACTGGGGATTGGGTGGGGGGAGTCGCATTGATTTTAAGTCGCATTTTTGGCTAGGGGTCAGCAGTCGTATCCATTTAGAGATGCATTGATTTCCAGATTTACAGTACATAAACATAGATTTGTCATAATCCAATATCAGGGAGACTAATTGAGATCATACTAGAGCTGGTCAAAAAGTTCTAAGCCTGACTAACTTTCAAGTATGGGCTATAACAAAATGAACTAATCAATGACCTGGCACCAAGTGATTTCCACCTGTTTCCTAAACTGAAAGAACAGTTTCGTTGAAAGCACTATGATGACAATGATGACCTCAAAGCTGCCGAGAATGGGTTTGTTCTACCTGTGTGGGAGATAATCTACCCACGTCAATTTTGCTGCTCTCAATTAATGGTTCTTCAATCCAATTCTAAATCGAATTGTGAAGCCATTTCAACTGGAAGATGTCAAAGTGCCTTGCACTTTCCCCAAGTGGAATTTGTCTGTCTACTCTTTTGGTAGCACCATATCAACATATGTATGAGGTAATTCATTTTCAAGTCTCTAAGAAAACCGTCTTTTTGCTTTCTATGGCATCACCAGCTTGAGTGTCTGAGCTCCATGCTATTGACTCCTCCTCAGTACATTAAAAACAAAACGTAGCTTGTCATAAATGACGAAAACTGATTTTCCTCTATGACATCAAAAGACGACAGAGAGGTTGCACAAGTACAAAAAATTGGGGCATAACGCCGCTATGCTTAGCACTAGTTTATTGTAACTCAGGTCACTTGGTGAGAATTTGATATTGATTTCGTGATGTTTTGACATCATGGGTGGTTTTATGTCTTTGACAATGTCAGAGAAAGACGACATTGATATTTTGATCAATATATATCTCAACTAAATTTTCATTCATGGTATGGAAATTCTCGATGTGTAAGACAGAATTTGACCCTTTACCGACACAACATTAAATGACTTTTACCTTGAAAATGTTGTCTTGAATAGAACAACATTTAGATAGTTTTACCGTGGTACTTAATTGGACAAGACATCAATGACTGTTTGGCATGAATTTTCTGTAATCAAATACCCAAAAGAAAACAAACCAAAATAATTTCAATATTGGATGTGTACTTGTTTATTATTATGTGATTATATTATTCCCGTCTCCAAATTCTACATTAAAAGAAGTGAGGAAAGTTCCTTTAGTATAGAATAATCAGGATAATTGTATACGTTTCGACCAGCGGGGTACATGGCCCGGTTTATATTTATCCATACTTTTTAAAATTCTTGGAGAAATGTTGTAAACAGTTTATATCCTATGGTCACAATATTTTTTTATATAAAGGGTGAACCTGAACCCACTGATCATATACCGTATTCGACGTAATAAGCGCCCATGGTGATATTTGCTAATATATTGGCTGGTGAACAATCCCAATTTGCACCCAATCCGATTGATCAATGTACACACAAGACTTATTTATTCGTGTATAATACACACTCATGTGTTATATGCACCCTTAATTACGGGCAATTAATTTCTGGAAAAATATGTTTGTCGTGTATAAAATGATAGACTTTTCTTTTATATCATTCAGGCTGTCCGCATAAACAACGAAATTTATGATCTTTTAAGTCTGTTTTTCCCCACCAAAATTATATTCTAATAAGAACCCTGTATTCCTAATTTTAAGAGCGCTCTAGGCGCTTATTACGTCGAATACGGTAATACAATACGAGAGAAATAATTTGTGGATTGTTTGTGACTTATGTGGACCTGGCGAATCGTTAGACATCACCATTCTGCCTGTCAAACTGCATAAAAAACAATTCCAAGACCAAGACAATTCTTCTAAAAATGTCTGCATATACAGTGTTCCCTCGTTATTGCGCTGTTCAATATAGCGCTAACTCGGTTATAGCGCAGTAAAGCATGGCTCCCAAAATTTACTTACGAGCGTATTTCGCACACTGGCCCGCCAGGCCATTTAGTGAAGTTCGAAAAGGGAACATGAAAGGGTGTGTGCAACCAGGAGTGGGGCTTTAAGTATTGCTTATGATTGTAATTTTGAGATTTTGAGATTTGGAATGGATGCCAAGGTTGGGGGGAACTACGGGAGCCGTGTTGGGTTTATGGTTGTTTGTTTATGTAGTTTTGGGTGTGTTTGTGAGTTGGATGGTTTTTAAACGCGGTTTAGTAGATCTGTTTTAAGTAGGTATACACCTAGGGCTTTGAAATGCTTAAGTTATTTATTGGGTTTAGGATTTTATATAGAGTTAGTCCTTGCTGTAGGTTTAGTGTGGTTTGTAGAGTTGTTCTATGTGTCTGGTAATGAGCGCAGTGTATGAGAGCGTGTTCTGGGGTTTCTTGTTAGGTGCAGTGTGGGCAGGTTCCTGTTGCGTGTCGTATAAGTTTTTTAAAGGTGGTTATTAAGTTTTGTGTGGCCTGTCTGAAGCTTTGTTATGACCCTGTGTATTTTTTTGGAGGGGTGTAGTACTTTTGGTTTGTTTAAGGTTATTTTTAATACTTTCCTAACTTGACAGTCTGAGTTTAAGAACTTAGTTTGCCATTTTTTTTAGATTTTTTGTTTGATGATACTTTTGATTTCAGATTTAGAGATTGGTAGGTTAAGGCTTATATTTGGGATTTTAAGGGATAGTTTAGCTGCTTCGTCTGCTTTTTCGTTGCCAAAAATACCTACATGGGCAGGGATCCAAAGAAACTGTATGTTTTTCCCACCTTTAGTTAGGTCGCTTGTGCTTTTTGGTTAATTTGGTTAATTTGGTTAATTAATTTTGGGCGGTTTTTAATGTGTTTATTTTGGAGTGTCTGGAGACCACTGAGGGAGTCTGTTAGCATGAGGATGCTTTGATGGTTTTTAGTTTGTTGGCTATGGAGGGCCGTGGCCATGCCCATAAGTTCGGCTGTAAATATGGATTTGTTGTTTGGGAGTCGGTATGATTTGATTTGCTTGTTTGGTTGTGAGGCGTGTACTCCGAAACCTGTGTGTTTGGAGATCGGATCAGAAGATCCATCTGTGTAGATGTGGCACCAATTTGGCCAAGTCTCGTTAATGTAATGGGAGTGAGGTGGTTTTGGCTATGTTGGGGTCTGTTTGCTTGTTTAGTATGTTGGATAGTGATGTATCTATCTTTGGTATTTGGAGTTTAGGGGTGAAGGCATTTGGGGGTTTGGTGTTTTGTTATGATTATTGAGTTTGTAGTGGTATGCACAAAGGGAGACAACCACAGTTGTCATGATGTAGCCCTCACAAATAAACGTGTCTCAAACACACTCCTGCGTCCGTCCTGATTTTGAAGGAATAACTAACATAACATGGTGTTAGGAGTGGGATGGTGTCAAAACAGGACCTAACGGACATCATACCAAAAAGGTACTCGAAAGTTCTGTGTCAAAAACTTTATTTTGAACTCAATAACTGTTTCAATATTTCAAGTGGCTTGCCAATGATCGTCCTTCAGCACACTCAATATTATACAGTCCATAACACAACGTGAACAATCGTCCTGGGGTTTGCCTTATGTGGATCGCCTCTCTCGCATGCAGTCATCGTCCTGGTGCAAGGCTTCACTGGCTCAAGTTTTGCACGCTTTTCTCACTAGACTTCCAACATTTTTTTACAACTTGTCTCACTCGTCGTCTGGCAGTCTCTTTGAAGTGCTCTCTCACCAGGCATATTTTATAGACTGTTAACTTGTGCTGTTTTGAGTTATAATGAATGATTTGAAACCACCTTGTGAACTTGAATTGACAGGAAATATTGCTGAAAACTTCAGAACATTTAAACAAGAATTTGAAATTTATTGAAACCTGAGAAAATTCAAGCTAATACATTTCTACATGTTATTGGAAAAGAAGCCAGACAAGTGTATAATACTTTTGAATTTGAAAACGAGACATATCATGAATCAGTCGGAGTTCTTCTGCAGAAATTCACGGATTATTGTAATCCAAGAAAGAACATTACATATGAAAGATTTGTGTTTGGAAGTCGAAACCAGGCTCCAGGAGGGAAATTTGATACTTTCTACACTGATATTAGAAACAAAAGTGCAACTTGTGAATTTGGTCAGTTATGTGATTCACTTGTTAAAGACCGGATTGTGCTATGGATTATAAGTGATGAAGTTCGATCTAGACTTCTTAGAGAACATGATTTAACGCTGGAGAAAGCCCTTGATATTTGTCAAACTGCTGAAATGAGTGAGCTACATGCTAAATCTTTACAAGAAGAAACTCCTGCTGCTGTTGGCTTTCTCAAGAAGAAGACTACA